GAATGTATTTAGTCATTGCTCCCCTGCATTTGACAGTCAAGAGGCAGTTGTTTGACATTGGGAAGTAAACTGGAAAGAACCCATGTTTTGTTCCAGCCTGGAGCACATCACCGGTCTTGGCTAATGTTTGCCAACCAGACCTTGAAAACAGCTAGAGGAGCTGATATTAAAGGAGAGCTGAAAATACTATAACACATCCAGCAGAACTTTTCAAATATATTGTGGCAGAAGTCTGATATTTTATTCATACCATCAAAGATAAATGTGTGTTAAAGGTCTACTGTGTAGGATTCAGGGAGATATATGGGCATAAATGGAATATAATAGACCCTTTTAGGGCCAACGTCATAGTGACGTCAGTTTGTTAGCTGGAGGCAAAACACGACTCGCCACCGCAGTGCTGTAGGCTACATAGGAGTCTTAAAATGTCATCTTGTTGTGTTAGTTGGAGCCAGCATAGAAGGAGCCATGGCTTAAAACTTACATTTTATTGCATACCAATGGCCACTGCCTATCAAGAAAAAAACGAAGACAACTATGGTTAAATGCGATAAGACGAAAGGACTGGACGGAGGCGATCATGTGGTTATCATGTCCATCTAATCTCTATCTCCATCTCTGTGAGGCACTTTGTGTTACTGTTGTATGAAAAGTGCCATATAAATAAAGTTGATTTGATTTGATTTGATTTAATCAGACATTGGGAAGGTATTAAGAGGAATATTGGATTTCTCTGTAATGCTAATTTTTAGCACATTAGCTAACGTTAGCTTCAGTAGCAAAATAAACTGGAGGGAACCGTTCTTGTCGTCCTCCTTTGTAAGACTGGCATAGTAATCAACCACAAAGCTACGGCCATCCCACCTCCAGGAATCCTTTCAAATCATCCATGTTTCTAACCAAACACTGGCTTTACATGGGGCCATTCACATTTTCATGTCTGCCACTGTAGTTAGTAGCCCCTCCACAACAAGTGTGTTGGAAAAACACAGATTTCTTTTGACATGGACCTGCTTAATTCCATGTTTTTACTGATTTAAGTCACTGTGTCCATCAGTGTTGGAGAGGAAAAGACCCCTGCGGATAATTCGGCTCTTAGTAAAAACTTTCTAACATCTGGATCTTAAGTTATCAGAGACAAAAGGTGAGCACACATTTGCTGGTGCTGGGCTAGTGGCCCATCTCCAACATGCCAAACAGTGTTGGAAAAACACTGATTTGTAATCTGAAACTGCTTTATTCCGTGTTGTACCAGTTTGAATCACTTGGTCTGTTTGTTTTGGAGAGGAAGAGACCTCTGCTGATAATTTGACTCTTGATAAAACCCTCCTGAACAATGAACAGTGAAGAATGTTAACTGTAAGAAGTGTTGGCTGGTTGCAGTCTGCAGTCCTCACTGCTAGATGCCTCTCAATCCTACACACTGCTCCTTTAAATGTCATTAAATTGTCTCAAATTATAGTTAAGTAACTAAACAGTGAGTCTCACAGACACACAGCAAGGCCTTGTGAAAACAGTTTTTAAGATCTTGAATTTAGTCAAGCTATGTGATGGATTTTAGTTTGACGAGGAATATATGAGGCCAGACTGACACAAAACTCTTATATATGCAGTGGCATTCCATAACTTCTCACTCACAGGTTTCATCCCCACAACTGCAGTCAGCGCTCATTAACAGCCATGTGTCCTGCCAAGGTGTCCTTGAGAGAGATTCTGTAAGTCACTGAGGACAAGCTTGTCAGATAGACGCCTGAAATATTCATGTAATATATCCCATCCTAGTTCTGGCTCCCTGTGACAACTCTGCCCACTCTTCCCTCTTTATTTTAGGGCGAGGGGAGCTCCAGCGTTAGCTCAGAGTTGCCATCACTTATTTGGACTCTGTTCTCATAGAGAGACTGACTCTTCTGGGTGTTTTTGTAACTGGGCTATTGGAGCTGAAAGTAGGGTAGCCCTTAACTAGGCTACGAGCAGACGACTCCAACTGGGCTTCGTGTTGTCTGGTCACTCTAATGAGGCTAAAGTCTAATTCCCAAAAAGTGAATCTAACTGTCGACTTGTCTAACTTAGAGGCATGTAGACCCTTAAGTCTTTGGAATTATGCTCATTAAAAAGTTAGATGACGAGGCTGATGCCACTCTTCGTGTCTGTACAGTAAATATGCAGCTGGAGCCAGCAGCCAGTTAGCTTAGCTTAGCTTAGCAAGAAGACGAGAACAGATATCCTGGCTTTGTCCAAATGTGACAAAATCTGCCTACCAGTGTCTTTAAAGCTCATTTATTAACACTTTATATCTTTATTTGTTTAATATGTACAAAAACCAAATTATTTCGATTAGTGAGCTTCAGAGGCGCTAGGTGACTTACTTTGCTATCTTTGGGCAGAGCCAAGCTTGCTGTTTCTCTGGTGCCACTCTGTATGCTAAGCTAAGCTAGCCGGTATTTTTCCCCAAATGTCAATCTATTCCTTTACAGTGGAAACAGAAAAAGTTCCAACATTACAGCCCTAGCGTTTCCAAATGGTATTATTGATGACGTTGCTGTCACAAACATAACTGGCAGCTTTTCCAACGTCCGCCATTTTTGCTTCTGGGGTTAGTAACTGCAAAGAACTTACACTGATACCCTTTGGAAACTGGTGACAGCTACTGAGGAAAACAAAAGCACCATCCTCTACCTGTTTTGGTTGTGTAATGCTTGACACACTTCCTTTGTGCCGTAAATCTAGCCTTCTTTTTCCTGGGAAATTGCACCCGCTGGCGGACAGAAGTACATAGTAAAAGCAAGGCTTGAGCCCTGTTGAGACAAAATTGCATCAAGAAGATTTGATTCTTAAAACTATCTGAAAGGTTCTAGACACCTGCCAGATTACACCAATGCGATCATATGAGATGGTGTAACATCTGGGTAGCAACAACTCCAGCTTTTCAGTTTGTTTATTTGAGTGTCTATGTGTGACATGCACATACAGCGAGCAGCAGCAGTGACCCACCGTCTGACACGGACACACCATGAGGACAGAGAGCAACATACATGTCAGCAGCTACAGAAATGTAAAAGAGACAGACCCATCACTCAGCAGGGATTGAAGGCGTTCGTCAGAGAATGCCACAACAAGCGAAGATGCCGTCTGTTGACAGTTTGTAACTGATTTGACCAGCTGACTTTGCTTCAAGCTGAATGGCTGTTGAAACAGGTGACGTGTCTTCCATTCTAAAACCAGCCGCTGGCGGCTTGACAAGCTGAGTCACAGGTGCCATCATCCCCTGGCTTGAGTTGAGATGGGCCAGTTCACACGCTACAGTGTTCTGAAACAGTTTTGTCTTGTAGCAAATCTTTGGTCTGCACTGGGCAGATTAGGGACCAGTCTAAACGCTGATGGTGTCATTATGCTGCAGCCATTACATTGTGCATTAGGTTTAAGAAAAAAAACTTGTCTATTTCCACTTTCAGCAGTGTCAGATCTGGAGGAGGAGGCACCATGCCAACAGAAAGTGGTTTCCCAAACTTGCATTTCTTCCAAAACATCACAATTCATGATTTTGACTGGTACAAAAAGTCTTTTCCTGAAGAGAGAGTTTATCAGAAAGAGTTGATGGAAAATCATCTTCAGCCCTTCAAAATGTCACACCTTTTATTAATGTAATTTTCACCCATTTTTTCCTTTGCCACTGAATGTTTGAGTGGGCCAGTCATCTGCCACAGCAGTATTACTCAGTTCAGCTCACAGGACACTTTCCCGAGCACGAGAAACAAAGGCCAGTCTGTTTCTATGGTTTCTCACATACTGGAGATCTGAGTGGAATTTTACATAGACAAGGCTAATGGATACACTGCACCAGCCGACATTTAACAAATACCAAGGAGAGGTACGATGATGGAGAGAGCAACTTCAATGCTCCGTGACTGAATGTCAGCCATTCCAGATAGAATTTTTAGTTATGACTTGTGTTATCGTACTGCTCATTAGTGAGTCATTACATCACAGGTGGCATGGGGGAAACAAGCCCTCTGGGAACACACTCCGGTGGCGGGTTAAGCCCAAACACCTCCTCCCAAAACCCTTGCCCTACTGTAGGTCACAACAGGAAGCCCACCAAAAGAGCCTTGACAAACATGCCCTCCTTCCTCTAGGCTCCCGATGCATCCCACAAGGGATGGTTGTTTTTCAGCAGACAGCATTGGAAAACTCCTGCCTTGCCCTTCACATGACACACTAACAGAGAGGAAAGTTTCCATTAAGTGTTGGACAGCAGCTGAAGGTTGTGACTTTGAGGAGAGGGGAGGCTGAAGGACAAGAGAGGAGGAGATTCACAGGAATATTTCTGAGTAAAATTTCAATTTAATTGTGCAGTCTAGCAAGTAAACATTTCTGGAAAGGGAGGATTAAAGGAAAAATCTTGACGCCAGCTATCGAAAAGGTCATCTGTGCATAAATAAATCCTAGAAAGTTTGGAATTAACCAACAGCAAATGGAAAATGCTTTTTCACGTGAGTGCTTATGACTCAGAGGAGTTTAACCGCAGTCTTGTTGAACCTTGTCAGTGTTCTGTAATTTAATTGGAGGCCACATTATGTTTCCTTTAAACTTTAAAGTAGACCAAACTGACCTCCTGAATCGGAGTGAACCAGGTCAGCACTGCTGTGTTCAATCTCGAAGACAGCTGATGGGTTTGAATGGGCAGAATTTTTTTTTTGGCTCCTTTTGTGTGGGCCTTTTGAAGAAGAGTAGTCCTTGCGCAAACCACAGAGCTGAAGTCATAAAAATTATTAGTCATGCAGCTGATAGTGCTCCAAAAGATGGACAAAGTTGGTTGTAAACCTCGAACATTTTTTTTTTGTTAGAGAAAAGTTTAAAGTTTAAAGTAATTTCTCCACCCTGTCATCTTGGCAGACAGACTAGTTGGTAATTTGTCATTTTAACCCACAAAGTAAACAGCGTTGTTTCGTTGTTTCTGTCTCAGGCTGACAGAAGTTCCCTCTCTGTGGTGTCTCTTTCAGAAAGAGACAACCTACTGTCTCTGGCTCTGTCCGGCCCTCCTGTCACAGCAAAGTGACTGAGTTTTCCCCAGACAGGCCCAGGGTAATTGGAACACTGGACTGAGGGGTATGCACACACACACGCACACACACAAACCCACACAGGTCATTACATTTACCACTAAGCATCTCCATAAGCCCAAGCAGGCATATCTGACATATCCATCTGCTATGGTAGGATCATGCTGGATCTCTCTCCCTCGCTAAATCGGGGTAAGGGGTGTGGTGCCAGGGGTAATGATGATGGGGACGTGACATATTAACTAAGCAGGGCTATGATTTTACCCACATTTACATCTCTTTTGGAGCATCATGTCATAATGTTGGTTTTGTTGCAATGAAATGAAAAAGACAGTTGAAATTCTTGAAATCCGTTAATCCTATAAGGATGACTGGTTCTTTATGGGTTGTGTCCACATATTACAGATCCTCCCTATTTTTTCTGCTTCTCTCTCTTTGAGTGCATCAGTTCAATTCAAATTTTTCATCCTAAAGCTTCAAAATGCTTCTTTCACATTGCTTGTGTAATGCTAAGTATTGTTTTTTCTACACCCGTGCAAATACAATAGCTGAGTTGAGGGTCTAACACCAATTTCTTCCATGTAAAAATAAAAGTACTTGGTACTAATGTAAAAACAAATAGGTCAATGTAAATGGGAAAATGGGCATCTTTAGGCTACAAAATAAACTGCACTAAATGCCAACGTGCACACAACCAACAAGGCCCCTTATGTCCAAACCAAAAGTATATTTCAATTTCTGTAGATGCCACTTTTCAGCCTGTGCATACAACTGATTATCAGTTAGTTTCACCTTGCCATATTTAATCAGAAAAAAGACAAAGCTCAATTTTTATACAGCAAGTAGCACGAACACCAGGCTGCAACCTCCAGGGCTGGAAAATGAAGCTAACATGGAAGTGCCAAAAACTGCAGTTCTTTAAATGGCACTTGAGGCTGGCTCCAGCAGCCAGTTAATCCTCATAGACCCCTGTGTTTAAATACCCAACTTTACAGCAGAAATAAACAAGTTTACAGCCTGTTACCAAAAAAAACAGCTTTGGTCACTTAGTTACTTTCTCAATTTATTACAACTGTACGGGGGTACATTTTTGTATTACACACCCGTTTACATTACTTTATTAAGACTTAAAGTTACTCATAATTAAGAGTGTGCCACTTTGAGTTATAGTGGATAGATGGATAGTGTCCTTGGCTTCTCAGTCCAGATATGGTCACTTCTGCCTCCAAAAACCAAGATGGCGACGGCTGAAATGCCAGACTCAAGGCTTCAAAACCACCAACGAATGGATGATGTCACAATAGCTCCGTCCATTATTTTTACAGTCTATGGCGCACACGCAACATTGCTCAGCAACACAGTTGTTAACAATGTTATCATCAGTGTGAGGTTAAAGAGTTTGTTAATGTACACACCTTTTCAGAAGTCACTCTGTGAGCCTTGTGCACCACAAAATCCTACTTAATCTGCTCTGCGTTCATCTTCTCTGCTTGTTTATTCTGAAAGCGTAACATTAATATAACCAGTCCACTTCCAACATGTGAAGCTGAATGCAGTCAGTCTTCACACCCCTTACTGAAGGTGTCAGCTGTGCTTTTGGATCCACCATTAGCATTTTAGCATGTTCGCCTGAATCAGGCTAGTGTGGCTAGTCTGCACCTGTGTCACACAATGTCGTAGGTGTTTGATTTTGGTCACTTACCACGCTCACCGGGTGGGAGATTAGTTACAAATTAAGGTAGATGCAACCTTTTTTTAGCTATTCCGAGGTGTAATAATGCAAACCATAACTACTGCTAGCCATAGCCCAGGGGCAACTGCCTTTTCCCACCTCTCCCTCCCCCTGACACTCGGCTGGTGAATGTAAACGTTACAACATGTAGGTCTTCTAAAGTGTCAGCTGACTGCACACTGTCACCTCCTCTCCGCAGCTTCTTCTCTGCTGCAGCTGTGGATTTATCTCCTTTCTTTTGTTCCATTTTAACACAGTTAATTAGGACAGATACACATAACTGACTCAGTAACAGATGTGACTTGAAATGTATGATACTTGTATTTGTTCAATTACAAAGAAGTACAAGAACACAAAAAACAACTTTGTTCCAGCAACAAGAGTAAATGTAATTAGTTACTTCCTGCCCTGCTTATTTCTGTCTCTTGTATCACACACTGCTTCTCTTTGAAACCTTTCACCTTCCTCACTTTCAACCAGACACATATATGTTCACTTGCTCTTTTCAAAGAGGTCAAGGCTATTACCTACTGCAGGGCAAGGTGTGTGTTTGTGTGCATCACGAGTGTGTGCTCACATGTGCTCTAGGGTCTTTTTCCACCAAGAACCATAGGTCTCTTAGTCTGTAACCCTCCCTTCCTCTCTTCCTCCCCGTGCCTTCCTTCCCTCCCAGGGGAAAAGCCCCCATGCGAAAGGGAAGAAATGGGGTGTAAAGGGCACTGAGTTCCCATTGGATCTGCTCCTCTATGCCCCATCTGTGCCCAGTCTATGCCACTCTGCTTTGGACACTGCAAAAGCTCTGTGTTGGCTTGAGGAAGCCAGCACTGTTAATGTGCCCCCTCTCTCTCTCTGCACATTCGGTGGGTAAAGCAAAAAAAATCCGATGTGGCACTGTAATTAAGTTGCCATTAATTGTTTTGCCTGGTCCCCGGTGGCACTGCTCACACTTTGGGGGAAGAGAACAGCAGATTTAAAGGGCTGATGGGCTCCACGCCTAACTGAACAACTAAACACAGTGAAAACGATTCTTAATTACTGCCTGTTGCCACTAATTCACCCAAAGTCACCTATGCTGTGAAGCCAACTAGCCCTCACCGTCTAGCTAGCCCCCTCCAATGAAACCTTAACCTTGTTAGCATGTCCATATGGTGTTTTTGAAATGCTACAAGACATATTATGAGCGAAATAGGCAGTCAGTACCACAGCTGAGCGTTTCCCAATTAGAACTGCAGTGTACCAATGAGTCTCAAAAGCACAGAATCAGACAGCAAGGTTTCATACATCATATATCTAAGGCAGTGGTTTCTTAGTCATTAGTTCAAGGTCCACACATTTTAATATATTCAGTGTCATACAGTCGTTTGGCCATGTTGTCAAACTAGTTTGCTGTCTCTGTCAAGTAGCTGTCTATGAGTCAGTCACTCTACAGCAGGAAATGGCACTTCAACATGAAAGCTCTGTGCCAGAAAGTCACTGTTCTTAAAAATAAAGTGTTTTTAACAAACTTGACACGTTCGCGAGTAACTGGCAGTCCTTTCAAAATGGATCTGAGACCCACTTTTTGACCATGACCCACCAGCTGGGAACCACCGATCTAAGGAACCAGTCCTGTCAGCTTGCAGGGTGAAGCTTTCCACATTAATAGCATAAGACTACAGCAAAACAAAGGATATTAGAACAGAAGCCAGGCTACTTAGTGGTATTTTGCAAGCTAAGTTTCACTTTGGCTTCAACTTGTCAAAGCTGGTGATCGAGAACAAGGTTTATCTAATCTCAGCAAAACATTGCTACCTGTTTGAAAGCATAATCAAGCTTGTGTTATCTACTACCGATGAGAAAAGTCAAAGGTGAGCAGGTACACATGAGCTACAAGTAAATGGCTGGTGGTGACAGTTGATGCAAAGGTGTAGAGTTACTTCTGAGCCATGAAAGGCATATGTAGAGACGGTAATTGAGAGCCAGTTCCAGTTGAGAACCAAATCGTCCAAATTCGCCGATCCATCGGAATCATGTACCTTCGAGCTTATCAATTCGTTTATCAATGCAGGCATGTTTTTTCTTACAGCTGCGCACTTCAAAATGACGACTTCAAAATCGTGTCTACTCAATGCTGATGTTTAAAATAGCAATTTGGCCGATAGTCGCCAATAGTCACTACCAACTTTTTTGTTATTTATTCCCCTGCTGTGCCAGGGAGTCAGAGGAGGACATGGTCCAAAATGTGACTTTATTTCATAAAGGAAGGTGACATCAGTGTTGCTTGTAATGTCTGTAGAGTAATAATTTCAAGTAAGGGTGGAAGCACCAGCAACTTGCTGAAGCATCTTTCTGCTCAACATGGGCTTAAATTCAAGGAATGCCATGTATTTGAAACTTTAAGCACACAAACTCACCTCTCTTTTATAATTTTTCTGCTATCAAGAAATCTTGTGTAAACATTTCAAACTGCCATGCCTTCATGGTTTCTCGCAAACGTTGTTTTCGAGCTTGAACACACTTAGCCAGTGTTTGCTTCTGCAATATTTTTGTCTTGTATGTTTTGTTTTCCACGTTCCTTCCTGTCGGAGTCTAATGGCAGCATTTTCCATGAGCGCTGCGCTGCCTCTAAATGTGGAATCTCAGGTGGTTTCTCTGCCTTGGCCGTAATTGAATCAAGACTATTTATATGCCCTACATTTTATGACATGTAAATGTTCATTGGCCTGAATGAAATACACTTTCCAGCTCCATGGCTAGCCGAGCCAAATGTAAATACAGAAGATATCGACGGAAAACAGACCATGGAAAACATGTCCTACAAGGGCAGTGGCACTACCCCCTCAACCCTGCTCACACCCTTCTATGGCTCCTCTATGACTTCACACACACACACAAGTTTATATGGCGGAGGCATACTATAACCATACACAGTCTCTTCCACTCTCACACCCTCGTTTCGGGCTGGGTGGGTCGCTGTCCTGACAAAGTCTAACCTCAATGGGCACTTGAGGTGAATTATTGTTTGCGAGTGGAAACTTGGCCAGATAATCTCAATGCTGCTGGCTCAGGGCTGAGTAAGACCACTGTCTCCTTCCCTACACACACACATGCGCACACACAGCTTTTGTTCTACCATCTCTATTTCCAGTCCACTTATTTGCTGACTCTTTTACAATAACTCCTTGTCTGTCCTGTCTGTGCTTTTGCTCCATCTCTCTCTTCCCTTTCTGCGACTTCTGTTTCTCTCCTCGCAGCTCTTTTCCCAACAACTCTGGCCTTTATCCTACAGGCCGTTCACCTCTGTGTGGCTGCCCTTGCCAGTGCCTGCAGTAA